TATATATATATGTATATATATCTAAGCTGCTCTCAGTCAGCCAGGAGAGCTTCAGACCGAAAAATGTATTAAAAGTTGCACTTTTATGTGCGCAATACACTTTTCCCTTATCTTCTCGTTTTGCTCTTTTTAATATATATGTATCTACTCATTATACAATGCTGAGATATATTAGGACAACCTGAGTCAATGCTGAGCGGATTTGCCGCAGTGTTTTATGCTAATTATGCGTTAAACATTTAACTTTTCTTTACGAATCTTCATCCAAAGAGTTAAAAGTTGGCACGAATAAAAAGCTTAGCGCCGACTTGGGGCGATATTAAAATCTAGCCGAAAGGCAGCCAGACAAAAGGCGGTTGAAAGGCACCGTAAATGCCGAATATTAAATACACTGCTTGGCCGTTGCTTTGATTGAGCAAAAGAGAAACAGTGTGTGAGAGAGAGAGAGAGAGAGAGAGAGAGAGAGAGAGAGAGGGTGAGTGAGGTAAAAGTTTTACTTGATATATTCACTTGAACTAAGGCAGCTCCAGGCAAAGGGGAATATTTATATTAAATTTTATATTGTATATGCTTCAGAGTTTGCTTTGTTGCTATTAGCAACATATTTACTTCAAATCAGCTTCAAGACCTTTCATAACTAACTAGTAAAGCGTGCTGCAGGGGGCATTCAGCTTATTATTTTTGCCCGCAACCGCAACTGCTGCCCCCTCCGCAGACCCCGGCAGCATCCCAGAGTCCTGGCAGTCGTAGGCAGTGGCCGGCGTCTGCATTCCGTGGATTTCCGCTTGTGGCGGCGTCTGAGCCACAGACTGAGACGCGAACGGAAATCCACGTTAGAATGCGCCAACAAAACAAATTGTCTAAAAAATAAAAAAATAATGGCTACGTGGCAATGGAAAGAGAAATGGGATTTGGAAATGCGGCAAGGGAATGGGGCACGGCCAGCGGGCGTTGGTGAGTTGTAGTTGGTTACGTGGCGCATAAGGGATATGCCTGAACGGTTTTTGCCTCGATTTGTTGTGCTGAGTATGCAGCATATGGCAAAAGTTTAAGTAAGCAATTTTTATTTATGCTCGATTCCAATACAGTGCCCTTACACACACACACACACACACACACACACATACGCACACATACACACACACTGGAAGAGCGTCCGTATGCAGCTGCAGCTGCTGAAAGAAATATGAGAAATTGTAGCATATTTTTGCCTCTGTTTGGTCTAACTCAACTTTTATTTGTTTGGCTCATTGCATGGCACAGACATTTTGCGGTCGAGCGAGTCAAAGCTTTGGCTCTTTGCTCTATTTGAATTGAGAACTGTGTGCAGAAGAGAGGCAGAGACAGAGATAGAGAGAGAGAGAAAGAGAGAGTGGGAGAGCAGGATAATGTAAGATGCTAGGCAAAACTAAAGCCGAGAGATACTCTATATTCAGACATTTGAAATGGGATTTGATTGGTCTTTTCTATTCAACAGATCATACGTGGAGTTATTTTTTTGTTATCCAATACAAGGTCTATAGCTTTGAAATCTTATGGCACTCAAGTGGATTTTTAAATTGAAAATCTCTGCACATGCAATAATATACCCTTCGCTCTGACAATGCAGGGGCAGAGCCTTAAGTAGTGCATACAAAAGCAATTTCTTTTGATTGTTGCACAAACGGTTCTTCGCCTTCGTCTCCTCCGAATCGCTTCTCCTCTGTATGCAGAGTCATGTATCGTGTGGCTTGGTCACTTGCTGGTCACTTGGCATTTCAATAAGCAGTTGCCTTTTGCATATGTGCGAAATAGTTCCACAAGCCCAACTCAAACAGAAAATGGCAACAAAAAGAGAGAAATAAAACGAGTTGCAACTTGAATCGGATATAAATCAAATATTGAAAATGCCGGCAAAGTCATCGCCGTATTTCATATTTTCTGCACACTGAGAGAAAAACTTACGTAGCTACCCAGAGAGAATTTGCAGTTTTATTTCAAATGCATTTTTGCTTGACTGGCTTGAAATTTTGAATAAATCAAGCGTGAATCGGAAAGAATTATTCAAACACTAAAAAAAAATTATAAGCAACATGAATGCTTGATTCCAAATATGCTTTGCCTAGTCAGCGGTCAGATTACCTACCAAATTTTGCAGAGTGTAAAAGCATACAGATGCCTCTTAAATTATTCCGTTGGAAATCTTGGCTATGTTTTCAAGTGTAAAACGTTTTCAGAATTCATGACTGACTTATTGCATTAAGCAAGAACACTCACCTCCTTCATCGGTCATCACCAGTATGGTTGTCTCTGGGCCGAGCCCTTCTGGGTTGAACACCTGCACGGTGACCTTGTACTGCGTGTAGGTTTCCAGATTCTGTATCTCGTGGCTCTGCAATGGGGAAATGTGAATGCAAAATTATTCAGCGAATTAATCAAACGAAAGCGCTTATAATAGGTGAACATGGGGCTAACGGGTATACCAGACTGCCGTCATGCTCGTGTAATGAAGTCTACATTTATTTGCATATTTATGTTTTTAGTTATTTTTATCGTTTCGTTTATAGAGACAAGACGCATATTCCCATAATTTCTCTCTAGGTATTTCATAATACCTAAACACTTTTTTTTTGCACTCGCTGAGCGAGTAGCCAAATTGAATGAGCTGGCTTCCTTTGCCTTCCTTCCTTTCGCCCCCTGCCCCCTCTCTCGCTCCCTTTCAGCTGCCAGCTGCAGTCAGCCTCAAGCGGAAATTGCGCATCGCCCACTTCTGTGCGTCGCCTGGCAAATATGTATGCACGTTAAATTGCAGCTGTTAAAAATGTATTTGCTGCAGCGCGGGGCTCATGAAAAAAGCGAGAAGGAAATTGAGTTGTGAGGCAGCCTTAATTGCACCAGCTAACATACACACACATACACGTTTTTATTACGAAACGTCGTAAAGTTTCGATAGTTCAGCTAGCGTTTGCAGCCTCATTTTCTGAGATTGTTTCTGAGTTGGCTTGCTTTACTGTTTTTTCTTTGAAAAATTTGCAAGTTTTGTTTACGAGAATTATTTAGTTCTTAGGAAAACCTATAAAGCCATGAAAATAAATCGGATCTTAGACTAAAAATATTTATGTATATATTTTCTTTTTCCCTTCAGTGAAATGCAAATACGCTAGTTCCGCATTAAACACAATTTATCTCTTACCTTGCCTTAAAGTTTTGTTCCCTTAATATTTTAAATTCTACTTTGACAAACTTAAAGCTCGGGTTCATTATGCGGAAATAGAAGGACGTACATATATAGACTCAGACAGAGCTGTACATATACATACACAAGTAATCATTGAGGGATGTGCTAGTGGCCAGTGCCATGCCCACTGCTATAGCGCCCCCGAAAAGGAAGCCCTGCAAAAACTACTTATGTGGCAGCAGATCCTGGCGGGTGCGGCTTATTAAAATTTTACGTAAGGTCAAAAGCAGTGCGAAACCATAAAACAAGCCGCTGGCTTTAAGCAGCTCACACACACACACACATGCATGCATATACGCTGTGGTTAAGCTCAAAATGGCTGCTTGCTACAACAAACACAATTTATGTTGCATACATTAGAGCGCCGTCTCTTGCTGTAGTTGTTGCTGCCGCTGCCGCTGCCGCTGTCGCTGCTCCTGCTGCTGCTGGTCTGGACCGCAAAGCGGTTGGCTCTGAGTCTCTCTCTTTCTCTCTCTCTCTCTTCCTCTCTCTCTCTCTCTATGTGTGTGTGCTTAGAAACGGATTGACTGCCATGCCAAAAGCTTAAGTGGCTGCCAGGCGCCAGAGTTGGCCAACAAGCGCTTTGATTTAACAACCAACAAACGCACATCTTTTTGCCTGCTGTATGTTCGCGTGTGTGTGTGTGTGTGTGTGTGTGAGCTGGTGTGTAGGCTAGATTTTAGTTGCCTTCGCTCTGGCGCTAATGCCGCCATATAATTTCATTTTATGTAGTCGCCAGTCGAGTGGCCATAGTAAATGAGGCCCCAAATTTACAGCTGCTGGCCCGTTTTATGCGGCCGCCGCCAAAAGTTGGCCAAAACCAGTTAATTGATATAATGTAATTGATAGAGCCGAGCGTGTGCTTAGCTGAAAGCATGATAAATTGTCTGAGAAACCGGAACTACAACTAAATACGTTGCCGAAAGCAGCAATTGCCGGCGCAATACTTTACTGTCGGTGGTTTTGGCATGAGAATCGCAGAGAAGGGCTGAGAAAGATAGGAATTCAGCTTTTAAAGAGAAACGTTGGTGGGCCTTAAGGAAATTGGTAAATTTGAATACCTAAGAAATAATTTTTAATTAATTTTCTCGAGCTTTTGCTTGCCAGAGAATATCAATATAATATCAACTACAATATAAAGTAACTATTTACTACTTACTAAAATGCCTGAATTAGAGCTTAAATTTAAATGCGAGCACTCAGCCAGATATGCTCATTTGCGCCATTAAGCAAACAGAGCATGAATAATGTTTGCCCAGATTCGATCGGAGCTGTGATGCAAAGCTGGTAATTAGTGCGCTGCCCAACACTGGCTCATCATTAAAAGTTTTGCCAGGCAGCACATCTGATACCCCTACGTGCGAGTACGTGTGCGTTTCCCTAGCAGCTAGTCAAAGAGGTGTAAAGCGAAACTCAAACAACAATTAACAACAGCAACAGAGAGGCAACAGCAGCAACAACAACAACAACAGCAGCAACAACGGCAACTAAGGACTACAAATTTGGTTGCCACATGCCGCATCTGCATATCCTTTGAGCCGTGCAGAAAAATGTTATCAGCGCCGGCGACTGGCACAAAGTTAACACGGTTTAGTTTTCACTTGGTGGCTTTTGTGCGAAATTCGCACGGCGTAAAACGAGCAAAATTTATGCTTTGCGGCGCAGAAATTTTAATTAGAAAATTGGCAAATTTTAACACACACACACACTCACATAGCTACACAGCCACAGCAGACGCAGAGTAAGGAAGTGGAAGGCGCAGTTAGATAGAGTCCTGCCAAGGACTCGAGGCGCTTTCACACGTGACAGCTCAATGTAGCGAATGCTGAGGGTGCCCAGGCTTTAGCTCTGGCTCTGGCTCGGGTTCGGGCTCGGGGTCGGGCATTTGCGACAGCTTACGGCAGAGACAAACCATGCCCTCGAGTTCAACAGGGCTTGCAATAAGTAAAAGACAAAAAAAAAACTGGAATGGAGTCAGAGAGTCGCACGTTTCTGCCTGCAAGGATAATATTTCAACATTTCGCACTGACATGCAAAAACGAAATGAAAGAGCGTAAAGCTTCAGCTGGCTGCGAGTACTGTTTAGCCGGCGGGTCCAGTGTCGAGATAACTGCAAAATATGCACTCAAGCACAAAAGCGTGCCATGTCCCTATCAGCAGTGCCTCGCACATGCCCCCATCCACCTCCAGCCTCATTGCCAGCGCGTTAGCATAGTTTTATTTTACCATCGTTTTTTTTTTTTTTTTTTTTTTTTTTGGCATTTTGGGCAACTACGTCGCGTCGCGTCGGTTGTCGTACGTGAGCATTATCGCTAATAATTTTTGCATATTTTTGCATCCCTCCATCTCCGCCCCGCCCGTCCCCGCCCGCTCTTCCATTGCAAAATTGTGAAAATTCAAAAATGCATTCCATGCACTGCATATTATTGGCTTAAATGGCATCGAGGGCGTGGCAGGCGCTTGACATTTTTACTGCAAATTCTATTGAGCCATTTACTTAGAGCGCGAATTAGCAAAGGCTTAAAGCCGCAGCTATTAGTTAATTCAAATATTCATTAAACAAACTACCAATGAGTGCACAATTCCAATATTCCGATTATGATATGCACATTCAGTTGCCAGATAACCAAATTTCAAATGCCTATAGAATATAAACACGTTTATGGGCAATATACGTGTTTAAAGCCAACTTAACCACATATTCGCAGTTAAAATTCGTATTGAAACTGGCCAGGAGTGCTTTACTTGGGGCTGGAGGCTCAGCAAGCGGCAGCGAGAGCTCCTTTATTTCTCATAAAAATGCAGCCCTCGTACTATTATTAGTTTACGTATCGTTGCACACTGTAGAGGGTGCTCATTGCTAGGTTTTCATAATATGGATAGCAAAATATTTCTATGAGAAAATAAATATTTCTATGGCTTGAGATAGTTTATAAGAGTGGCATTACCTCTTATACATGTATATAAAGAATATATGTTTTATTTGGATTTAGGATGATGCTGATGCATCCCAGTGGGTTCAGATCCAGCTGTACTTGTATTATTCCGTTAGGCTAGAGCGGAGCAAGTCGTAATTTTGTTTCTAATCTCTTCGTCTTATTTATAGCAATGCTTCTGTTCTCTGAGCTCCCCTAGTGTCTAATTCGATTCCTTTCGCAATGACTCTTTCGATATTAAACCTCTTTCCTTGCACAAATATCAGATCACTAGAAGATTACCTTATGCCTCTTTCACTTAGCTAGACTTCTTTCATAAGTTGAGATTCTCAAACTAATATTAAACTACCATTCCCACATATATATTTATATATAAATATTTTTTAAATATGCCCAACAATAGAAATTCTTTGTTAAATGTAGCTCATTTGTTTCTCCACTTAATCATAATAAATAAAATATAAATATAGTTTTATTGTTAGCTTTGTTATGCCTTAGTATATCAGACAGTAGAGGAAAATATCTAATACTCTTTCACTGATAAGACGACGATAGTATCATAGCGAGTAGTTTACTCTCCTGCAGGCCACAGAGTCAACTGAGTATAGTGGGCTGAGTCAAAAGCGACCAATATCCCCCTCCCAAATGCGAATATTCTCTTTTAAATTATTTAACTATTGTAATTGTTTAATTAAGTTCTCTTACGCAGAGGTATGCGGTTTGTGGGCTCCTAATTTCGTTTCGGTGACATTTTGAGGCGACTCCTCATTAATTATAAAGTAGAGTTTGATGACACCAGCCCTAAGCCCACAGAGGTCATGTAGAGGTCTAAGCAGGACCCGCAACAAATGTAACTAAACTCATGCCACCCATTTGCTCTATGCCATGGCAACATATCTCCCTCTGTTTATTGCCAACATTTCCGGCATTTTATGTTACATTCTTCACCAGCTCTGACCCATTCCGAGCACCATTAAAAAAAGGGTCGTAAATTGAAAAATCTCTGCATTAAACATTGAAAATCGAGTCCATTTGCGCCAATTGCTAATTTCGCCTAGCTAGAATTCCGCCGGGACTGTGCGTAGGTATCGCCAGTAGTTGAGATTTCCATGGGGCACGGCGAAAGTAGTTGCATAAATTCCGAATTCCTTTTAGGCTGCGCTAAGCCCAAAGTGTATTCCCGCGTGGCATGTTCGGCAGGCAGCACGTGCCACATGCGGTTGCCCGCATGTATAAATGTGTCCCAGACATTGCCACACTTCATTAGTGGCGTCGCGTGTAGTGGCATTACGAAAGATACAAATGCTACGCACACAAACACACACACCCATTCGCACAAACACCTGATACACATAATGTTTACCTTGCCACGACGACGACGTCGACTAATCGTTAACAAATTGCTTGTGATAGCGGCCACTACAAGAGATATGCCACGTGTTGTAGCAGCAGCAGCAACAGCCCATTACCCACTCCTCGCTGCTGCTGGGTGGGCGTGGCTGTGAGAAAAACAGCCTCTGTCGGCAGGTGTAAATTACTTTTTAATATGTCGCGACGGGCCACCTTACCTCCCCCCTCCCCTACTCGTCCAACACTTTGGGACCAATTGAAAAGCGGTTATTTTTGCTGAAGATGGTAACAGGCAGACAGACAGACAGGAAGGTGGCACGAAATGGATATCGAATGACTGTTATGTGGCACGTTATGCTCGCGGCGCCTCTATCCCCTTTGCCCCTGCCGCTTGGCATTTGCAATATGCAAAAGTGTCAAAAATTGTGGAAATTCAATTATGCTGAAGTCAAAAAGAAGCACTCGCTTACCTCCACTGTATTGTCGCGTATATAGATTTCCTTGGTATCGTTGGGGCTGCGATCGCGTGGACGATATGTTATGCGATAGCCCAGAAACTCGCCCAGAATGGTGTCGGGCGCCGGCGGCTTCCACGAGATGTACACCGAGCTGGATGAGGTGTTGTGCGCCGTGGTGGGTATCGGCTTGCCTGTGGGCGCTGCAAAGATAAACCGAAGCATATATCCAAATCAAATACCAAACTCAAATCGAGGCTGAGGTAGCCGCGGGCCAAACTTTTTCTGGCTGCCAAAAAACTTGGCGAAAACTCAAAAATTTCAAATTAAAAATGCCGCACGAAAAAGTTCGCTTGGCGTTTTTTAGCTGCTGTTGCTTTCTCTTTCTTTTTTGTTCGTCTTTGTGGCGTTGTCTGTGTGGCATTGTCAAGTTGTCACTGTCACGCAACATAAGTTGCAAGTGCCTGCCGTTGGGAGCGCTGGCTGCGTCCCGTGGACCGCTCTGTCGCATTAAGTTAAATGGTGCGTGCGTCTCACTGTGGCTCCTGCGGCTCCTGCTGCCTCAACTCCTGTCGGGCAGGTGAGCCATTCAACCATTCAGCGGCATCTGAAGTCGGAGTTAAAGCTGGAGCTGACGCAGGAGCTGGAGCTGGAGCTGGAATCTGAGGCGCTAGCTCTGGCAGTTGGACAAGTTGCTCTGGCAGTTTGTCACTTGGCAAGTTGGCAACAAGCTGCAGCAGCATATAAATAAATTACGCAAACATTTTCATTTGACTCGAGAGTGTTGCATGCCACGCGCCTAATTTATACAAATTGGCCAGCACACAAGAGTCAAAGAGGGGAGGAGGGAGAGAGGGGACTGGTCTAAGTCATGCGGTTTTTAATGAGCTACAAGCCGCAGACTATTGACTAATTTACAACCACGAATGTGTGTTGCAACAGCAGCAGCTGCTGCTGCTTGCCACGCATTCCAATAGGCTGTGGCATAAATGCCATTTCACGCCCTCAAGCTGGGCCTTCAAGACAAATGTGTTGCTAATAGCTTGTCGCTGTCGCCATTTAGATATATGTGCCCCTACATTAAGGGCGGCCGAGGCGGCCTAGGCGGCGGGGCGTGGCTGCTTCTGCTGTGATTAATGGCAGTGGGCTGCGAAAAAGTTGGCTTTCAGCTCAGCCTAAAAGCAGGCCATAATTAATCATGGGGCAAGCAGCAACAGCAGCAGCAGCAGGTGCCGCACGCACGCCGCATGCAACAAATCTACAGCTGCAACAACGAAGCTGCAACACTGTTCGTCCATTGTTTAGCTGTCAATGCTGTCGAATTTGTCAATTTGCGGCTTTGTCCCTTCGGTTAGTTACTTTAACAGCAACGGCCACGCCCATACGCTATACGCCCACACGTTCATGCAGCCACACGCAGCCACGCAGCATGGCATTAAAATAATTAAATGCACATCAGACTTAAAGGCGCGCACTTTTATGACGTCACAACTTTTCATGGTCCGGTACTTAAAGCAGGTGCGAGTCCCGCCAAGCCATAAAATGCAAATGAAAAATTAATGCGATTGTAAAAGAGAAAAGTGTCATGTCAGCACTGTCTGGTAATTTATGTGACTCACTGTTAATGTATCTGTATGTGCCTATCATAAACCGAGCAATGCACATATATCTATGTATATATACATATATGTGTATATACGTATATCTCATTTGGCTCACCTTCACGCAGCGTCACAATGTAGTAGGACTCCTTGGAGGGCGGACTGACGCCCAGCTTGTTGACGGCCAGCAGACGGAAGCTGTAAACGGTGAACGGAGTGAGGCCCGTCACCTGATATGAAGTCGCATTGGTTCTGGTATAGATGCGCGACACTTGATCCCAGATGCCATCCTCGCCCTCGCTGTGGATTTAAGAGAAAACCACATTCAATATAATATATAAAATATCCCATTTTATTACAATTCTATTTATCGAATAATTCATATGCCAAAACTGTATTAATCTTTATTGCACTTGCCTCAATTGACACCTGCAAATAGCCATATATACATATATACATATATACTGTTCTCTTTTTGTATAAACATTTATTTCGAATACATTTCAAAGAGCGAGATTAACATAAAATATTGGCAACAAATGCATTATGCCCCGGCGACGGGAATGAGATTTTCTCCACATAAAAAATAACAGTGTTTGCCATAGGTACTAAAATATTTATGCTCGTTTTACCGCACACATACGCATTAATACACGCACATACACATGCAAAAAAATTATATATCAAAAAACGTTACGAGATTTTCTGTTTTTATGATCCCGCATTGGGTATTAACATTTTGTAGTACATATGTAGTGCTTAAAGTTTCTTGCAGCTGACTATATAACGGAATGAAATATATATATTTTTAAGATCACATTTTTATATAAGAAAGTTTTCTGACTCTGTTCAACTATCTTTGTTTTGGTTATATATAAGTAAGTATATATTGTAAAACTTGACAATAATTTTCCTTACAGATCATCATCTGCCAGCTCAAAAGTTCATCTTTCTGTTCATTGGCCTGTCTGTTTATAAGACTGTCAGTCAGAAATAATATGCATAATATATAATATTTCGCTAGCTACTTGGATATTGTAGGGCAGTGAACTGCTAGAAGTAGGAGAAGATAGAGATGCTAACATTGTCAAGATCTGCTGGACCGGATGCTAAAATACTTGACCCATCTTTCTTCTAGCCAGCTCTAATCTATTCTAAAAAATATTTTAAATTAATATCTATTACTATACTCTAAAAAAATTCGTCTAGAAAACACAAAAAATTGTTATTTCTATTTTCTACAAGTAAATTTAAATACAATTTGCAAGCCTCTTTAGCTTTCAGTCTCAGTCTAGCTCAGATTTTCATATTGAATTCGAAGTAAAAGTCATACAGGGTATTAAGTGGGGCATGTGACAGGCCTTAGATTATATTCGCTTTAAGCTCATTTCCCCATTTCGGTTGGCTTTGGATCTTTTGTGACGCATAAATTTTCAGCGGGCGCCGCACAATAAACATTTTTCATGACCAATATCAAAGTGCAGTAAATTTTGTTTAAAGTTGCCAAAAAATTCCCATTTTTTTGCTCTTTTTTTTTTTTGGCTGCATAAATTTCACGCATACCATGCAGACGTATGTGTGTGTGAGTGTGTTGGTGTATGCACACATTATGTTATTAGGGCTTATGCACGGCTACGCGAGCTACACGAGCTGAAAGCGATGTGCAGCTTTTTTGTGTGATTAAAAATGCATTAAATATGAGATGCGACTGAAAGTGGAGTGAAGCAACAACAACAACAACGGCAAAATGAAGAAAATATAATATAAAATAAATATATTTACTACCAGCAAAAAAAAAAATAAAATAAAAATAAAAATAAAAATAAGAGCACCAACACAATCTGTGAGGAGGAAAAACATATTTTTTAAGTTGCTCCAAAAAGCATTAAAATTAATAAATGCGTGTGGGCAGCCACATACACATGTGTGCATGTGTGTGTGGGTGTGTGAGTGTGTTGTCAATGGATATTGCTGCAAAAATGAATACAAGCTGCTGCTGTTGCTGCTACTCAGAGGCGGCAAGCGGCGCACAAGCCAAAAAAAAAAAGAACTTGTGAAAAATGGGCTGTGCCTAAAAAACAGCTCAGCAATAACAACAACAACAACAATAAGCGAAATAACCGCAATGGCAAATAAATTTGCGGCTGCTTCCATACAGCATGTATGCAAGTGTGCGTGTGTGTAGGTGTGTATGTCTGTGTGTTTGAATCGGTATAAAATACACACAACATTTTTTTAAGCCGCTTAAACATTCGTTCTTTTGCTGCCTTTAGCATATGGCTTATGTATGTGCTGCCTGTATATATATGTATGTGTGTGTGTGTGTGTGCGTGGGTGTGTGTGATTTGTAAGGGCCAGGGCCAAAGTTCATGCACGACTTGTTTAAACAGTCAAAAATGTTGTATTTTGTGGCTGAGCAACTACATGAAATATGCACAATGAACTGTGTAGATAATGAGACAGAGATAGAGACTCGCTCTCGCGAGTGAGAGAGATGGAGAGAGGCGAGTATCTATTGATAAACATTTATTTTATTCTTCCTCTAATGAGCTTACATATATCGCATATTATTTGCATTTCAAATCGTCGAGTTTCTGTCAAACATTAAATTAAAATTTCTGTTCAGTTTCTCGCCTGCAATTAAGTTCGCTGATATCAACAAATTTGTTGCATAATTTAATTATTGTTTAATTATTCTTTATTTAATTACAACGCGCTGACATTAAAAAAAAAAAAAAAGGAAATTAGTTTGCTATGCTGTTCAATTAATGAAAAAGCGAAATCAATTTGCCAAAAACAACATCGACTTTCGCTGCTGTTGATTAAATCTCAGCGAAGAATATTATTGTTTATAATTAAATATGACTTTTCTGTTTCTTATTTGATGACATTTTGCAAATATGCAGTATAATGTGAGAGTGGTTGTGTGGGAGAGAGAGAGAGAGAGAGACTGTGTGTATATTTGAGACATCAACAAGCCAGCTGAAGAGTTGCTGAACTTGAGAGATACCCTGTAAGTAGAGCTTGCCTTCGCTTTACTGAGAGAGTTTCAGATTGTTTCTATCTAGAATGCTGACGATATTATAAAAAGTATTTCATTATGGGAATCATTGAATATTTCTCTTTTTCTTTGAAGTTAAATATGAAGCCTAATGTAAGCTAAGCTGGAATTTACTTGATTTACTTTAATGTTATAAATAATAATCTATATATATAAAAGAAAGTTGTGTAAAAGTGAAGACTGCTTATAACTTGATTTGGGCTGAACCAATTTTCATGGTTTTTGATTTGTTGGATTTGTCTCCGCAACGAGTTTAGTATAGGGTCTTAAAAATACTGAAAAAATTTGCCGAATACTTGAAAAACGCGGTTTTTTCCCCAAATGTTCAAATTTTTTTTATACCCAGTAGGCTTGGTAACAGTGACAGTTTTGACAATAGTGTAGAAGTAAATAAACAAATGTAGTCAGTCAGTCTACGGTCTCNATTTAAACGAATTCAATTCCCGCTTCGTCTTGCCTTCGCCATGACGATCAACAAGTCACAGGGCCAATCTTTGACTATTTGTGGCCTCAATCTAGAAAATGCGTGTTTTTCTCATGGTCAATTGTACGTGGCATGCTCACGTGTTGGCAAACGATCCGCATTATTTGTTCTTGCACCCGACCAAAAAACGAAGAATGTCGTTTACAACAAGGTGCTTGAATGAAAATCCGATTAATAAATTTATCAGTGTATCCCAGCCTGAACAACATAGCTTTCAACAATTTTTTACCTAGAAATAATATAGAGGGCAATGCAACGTTTGCCGGGCCAGCTAGTTATAAATATTATATAATTCATATTCATTAATTATGTATTATATATCATATACTATAATATTTCTAGCTCAAATGCTAGTAGTTGTATTTATTTCCTCTTTTGTTTATCTGTTCCTTTATGCTGTCTGTCATACAATCCACTCTTGAATTGTTCTCTATCACGTTTGCTGGATATGAAAATCAACTCAAATTGATAAACACCTTTCACATACAACTGTAAACAGCACTCAAACAGCAGCGAGTACAATCATCATCAATTCGATAAATAAATGTATAAAAGTTCGGCCTCAAACACACTTATAAATAAATGTATGTATATACATATATATAGGAGTGTGTGTATGTGTGTGTGCCATACAATTTATGGCCTGTATTAATGTACAGCCACTTGTTTTGTAGCACACACACTCACACACATATAGACACACACTCACACCAACAGACACTTCGCACCTCCGATTCTCAGTTCGCATTTATCGCAGCTGAACTTATTTTCAATTGCATTGGCATTCGATGTGTGGATTTGCGAGACGAGATTTCCAGCTTGAAGCATTTCGTTGTCATCGTCTTTCAATTTGCAGGGCCGGCACTCAAAAGATATATTCCACATAATACACAAGCCCCTTAAAGGCCTCCGCACGCGGCACGCCTCACACCTACACACTCACACACATCCACACACTCGCACACGGTTTGCATATGCGCATATAAACCGAATCAACCGAAAATGTAAATAACAGGCGTACTGTGTGGCAGCAACAGCAGCGCGTACAACACGAACAACGGCAACAACAACAACAACAACGACAGCAACAACAACAACAACAAGGACAACAACAGCAACAACAACATCAGGAGCTCAACCTACACTTCACATCACTTCACATCGATGGGAGAATTTACATAAAATGCAGTCAGCGGCGCAGTCGGCGTCAGCTTCATTTTGTGCATGCCCAAAAAAGTATGCTACATATATGTATACTCACTCGCGCACGCTCTAGTGTATGGCTGTGTGTGTGTGCGTATGGGTGTGGGTGTGTGGTTATTTCTTATTTTGCATAAATGCACCACAGGCTCTGCTTGCTTTTCAGCTGCCTGTCATCGATTGCCGGCCCCAGTGTCTTGTACCCCTGCCATGCCACGCCCACCCACTGGCACTGCTACCATTGCTGCTGCTGCCGCTGCTGCTGTTGATGATGGGAATTTATTGAAAAAGTTTCGCTTTTCAGTAGTTTTTCCGCAGACTCGTTTTGCTGGCCTTTGTATTGCACTCGCGGCAATCGTTTCTTCTTCTTCTTCTCTTTTYATGTTCATGCCGCGCATTGAGTTCAAGTTATTCGGAAAATAGCCGCTGCAAGAACGTCTTCTCAAGCGTGAGTCTGTGTATGCGTATGTGTGTGTGTGTGTGTGACTGTGTGCCTGTGCGTGTGTGTGTGTGTGCGTGTTTTCTTTTCTATTTAAATGGAGCACAAGTGAAGTGCGTATCGCTGTGGATATGCGCGCATATCACAGCCAATGCTTTACATATTAATTACAGGACACCCAACGGTAAGTGGGCCGAGTTGCAGGAGGCGTGGCAGCTGCAATATATGCAATGGAAATTTATCAAAGAGCGGCGAGCGGAAAGCAATAAACGCATGATTTTAATTGATTGCATGCGTACGCGCGACAAAGACTGGAGCAAGGGAGGCGCAGCCAGCCATTGCCTGGCCGCTGAACATGTTTCCGGGGGCGTGGCACATGCGATTTATACGGCAAGAATGTGGATGGTAAAGATAGTTATGGTACATAATATATATTATATATGGCTAGACAAAACAATCTTTGGCATTGAAATGCTCTAATTCCAATAAATAGAGAGAGCAACAAGGAGAGGGTAAGTGGGAGTGTGAGAGAGACAGATAGATGGGTAACTTTATGGATTTAATGTACTGAAGCTCTAGCTACGTTTGCTGTACTTACCGAGTTTCAATAATGAAATGCGTCACTGGCGCATTCCGTGGATGCTGGGAGTGCGCCCAGGATAAGTTCACGGAGCGTGATGTGAAACTTATTAACAAAGGACGCTCCGGTGGATCGGGCACATCTGTGTGACGAGCGAGAAAGAGAGAGAGGGGAGAGAGAGAGAAAGAAAAACACATGAGAAGAGCGAGCAAAAAAAAAATAAAAATAAAAAAGAAAACTGGCAGCTATCAGTGAAATGCAAATGGAAATCATGACAAGAAAACGAACGTGTGTGTATGTATGTGTGTGCGTGTGTGTGAGTTGTGGTGAGAAAATCGAAATTGTATACACACGCACACGCACGCGTACGCACACACTCACACACACACACACGGACACATAACTGCAAATGAAATCACCAAAATGGAAGGAAACCGGATAAATCATTAATGTTGTTAAGGCTTTCATTAAATGGCGAATGGCAAACCAAACGAATAAAAAGGAAGAAAATCATGAAAGGCAGAAGCAGAACAGAAATATATGTATGAAATGTAATATGATGGAGCTGCTGTCTGTCCCATACTCGAGCGAAATCTGCTCTAGTTGCTAAGCCAGCTGAATGGAGATGAAAGCAGGGCAAGAGTATTTAATGCATGAGCATGAGAAAGAGYGAGAGTAAACTAAAGGTAAGTTCACCGTTCAAGAAAATCGAAATTAAATTAAATTAAAATTAAATTAATAACAAAGAGCAAACTTAAAATGCAAGAGCTATAAATCAAAATTGAATTTGTTTATTTAAACAATTTCATATTTAAAACCTCAGCGAAATATCTAATTGGAATTCCGCCTGACAGCAGCAATGCCATTAAATATCATATACAGTGAGTAACATTAATAACCTTTCCGATGAGGTATATATCAATATAGTATACTTAACATAACTAATAAAATTAAAAAAAATTCAAAACGAATATTAATGCTACTCACTGTAATATGCTGTTCTAGACTATCTCTCTTTCTTACTTACCCTGCACCAGCAGATCAACAATGGCCTCTGGTATATGCCGATCGTTGACTAGACAAATGTACTCCGATGTGTCGCTCGCCAGGGCCGGGGCGAACTGCAGGCCGAAATTGTCCGATAACAGTTGAATCTGCAAAAAAAAAAAAAAAAAAGACAAAATGAGAACGAGAATGAGAGAAGGAATGGGACTAATTATTGGGGTTAATTATTTCATTCGAAATCGAGAATGCGAGAATACGAATGCTAACTGGGCGCCTGCATTGCGTTGGATCTGACATCAGTTGGCATAACAAACAAATTTGTCAGAAACGTGTGCAAAACAAGTGCAGTTAAAGTGGAGCAAGATAGGCAGGACTGAGGGGGTGGCAGGGCGAAATGAAAACAAAACTGCAAACGGACATGGAGATGGGGACGTTGACAGTGGCCGGCAACAATGTGGACAACACGAGTTTCTACTTTAGGCTGCACACAAACTTTTTAATACAAAAGACAAATAAGTTAGCAAAAGCAAGTTTGCTGCATAGCCACGCCTCCAAACAGGACCGCCCCTCACACACACACACACACACAGTGCAGCTATCGAGTGGACAGCACTTAAAATAGCCCCAAACATTGGGACAACATTTGACTCTGGCGACAATTTGTAGTTGTAGACGATAACTTTTCAATGCACATGTGCTTGTTGTTGCTTCTGCTGCTGCTGCTGTTGTTGTTGTCTCCATAATTGAGCCCTGGCAAATTGAGTTTTGGGGGGCAATGCACGCAAATTACTTTAAAGTTTGATTTGAGCTCCACTGCACGTAGAAAAGCATTTATAAATGCAAAACATTTAATACGCTTGCAGCCTGATGAACGAGCCGAGCCTGGGCAGAGCCACAGTCCTTAGCCCATATATGTATATATGTGTGTATGTAAACGGTATTATTTCTTGAAAACCTATTAAGGATTTTGTGCTAAAAACTGTTTGAAATCTCTGACATTTCATTGTTAGGGGCCTAGGCTCTTCTTTAGGGGAATTGTTTTTTGGTTAAAACGAAAATTTCAGGTTTTTACTAAAGCGCTTTGTGCACCTGCCCTGTTGAGCTCTCTGTGGGCTGGCCAGACGACATAAGTGTGTGTCTGTCTGTGTCTGTCTGTGTCTGTGTCTGTGTCAGTGTGTGTGTCTTTGGCCACAAAATTGCTAGCACATTCGTCTGGGTCTTGACTACAGTCTTGTGGCATGAAATTGTTGATCGATCGGATTTGATTATTAAGCAATAAACTATGTGCTGCTGGCCGCAAAAACAATTTCACCCTAAATATTTTTCCACAATGGAATTTCAATTTACAGTTCAATCTGCAGCCGAGCAGGAAATTGCAACAAAATTTTAATTACATGCAACAAATTTGCACTTAAGCTGTGTGCGCCTGACAGCCTCAACGATGTGTCCAGATAGCATCAGTCAGACTCCAAAATCTGACAGTCGAGCATCTTACAAAGTTGAGCTGCAGCTAAGAACTGGCAAAGACCAGTCGGCGACAGTAACATGAATCATTCTCTTTCTTATTTCCCTTTTTAGCCGCAGCCATAAAACAAAAGTTAATAGCTGCTTAGCAGAGAGTGAGAGAGAGAGAGAGAGAGAGAGGGAGCCAGCGTGTGTGTGTGTGGAGAGTGTGTCAGTTGTAATAAAATGAAGCAGCTACTACGACGGACTGAAAAACTTTTAATACACATAATAGCCAAGCATAAAGTACACACTGCACAGTGGAGCAATAGCTTAAACAATGCGAAACTACAGTGGAGAAAAAATTAAATTTAGAAACAAAATTTAATTTAATAAAAATTTTAAAAAAAAATGTATAAATAATTTTAATACCTGTGAAGGTAGCACAAATTGTAAATTCATTTAATTCAACTTTTTTTTTATGTATATAAAATGCTTTATTTATAAAAAAAAAAATTTTAAATTACAGTTGTGGGAAAATAAATAAAAAGTTTAAGCAATTTCATAGTTGATAAAAAAAAAAAAATGTAACTAAAATATTTCACTGTTTAATTGGAAATTGGACTTGGTAACTTTTTTATAAATCCACACCAATTTATATGGTCTTCTGGCCCACTGTGCAGGCGCACAGCCGTCGCACATTGAGCAATGGCAAAGGCCAAATTGGCTAAGAAATATGAGCGAGAGCGTCGCGGCTGCAAGCCAGGTAAACTCTCTGCTTAGCTCGACGCCAACTTTGGCTTGGCTGCAGCTCAAGTGTCCCAGTTTGCCATTTAACACGATAGCTGAGGGGATGGGCACGCAGGGGGTGGCTGCTGCCGCGTCCTGCCTAGTCCCAGGGCCTTGTTCGGGCTGCAGCTGAAACTTGTTCATTCTTCATTTTGTTTGCCCCGCCTCGATGGGGCCCCCGGAGTGCGTTTAAGGCAGCAGCAGGAGCAGCAGCAGCAGGAGCAGGAGCAGGAGCAGCGGTAGCAGCAGCAGCAGCTGTTGGAGTTGGCGTTGCTGCTTGGCGCTGCTTGGCAGCCACTTAAACCATTTTTGCGCCTTGTCGTTTTTATTTTACTACAACTATCAAACATTAAAAATATATTGGCCCCACTGTCTGCAGCCAACTCGAACGCCCACTGATGGCCACTTAGTTCTCCTGACTTTCGCTGCACTTTCTTTTTGTTCGCCTGTGTCGCTGTCGCCGTTGCCGTCGTCGTCGCCGTCGTCGTTGCCGTCGCTGGCAAAGTTCAAACAGCCGCCTTGCAACTAACTGGCTATCAATTATTTTAACAGCCACCTTCTTCTGCTGCTTCTGCTGCTCCTGCTTCTCCTGCTTCTGCCTCTGTTTTTTGTGCTTCCTTTTGTCTGCCAACCAAAAATATTTAATGGCCAAACTCAAGTGGCCCCAACTCGGGCCGTCAAGTGCCGAAATATGGCAAGTGGGTAATGAATTCTAATATGAAGCCAAGTCGGATTGCAATTTGAGTTATAACTGCACTCCAGAGATTTGCCACTGCCATTGGCCGGTTGATACAAGATTAATGGAATTCACAACAACAATTGCTTTTCATTAGCAAGCGGACTGGGAAATAAATTCGTTTTAATAATAAATCTAACCAGTCCAAAGTAGTAAATTGGATCAATCATAGGACTTGCTTCACCTTCCGGCTTATCGCAGTTTGTTTGATGGCCTCTACTTACCCTGGGGCTGTGGAGCAACGGAATGCGATTGGCAAACTGTGCGATTGTCGTCGACGCTGTCTTCCAGACCAAAGTGTCCACCAGCGAGTGCTCTGTGACGCCCGGACAGGGTATGGTCACGTTCTTGCCAGCCTCGGCCGTTACCTTGACGTAGTCCAGATTCGTGACGTCTGCAAGGAGAGGAGCGAAACGAGAAATGAGAAATGAGTGAAGAGTGAAAAGCATTCGGAGTGTGGGTCAAAAGGAAAAGTGTGGTCTAAGCTCAAATTGCCGAAAATGTTGCTAAAATGTCTTGCAGGCATTTTAATTACAAAACATGGACGAAACCCGACCTCAAAGCGACTCGACTCCATGTTGCACATTCCGATGCACAGGTGAATGCGTATGTGTGTGTGTGTGTGTAAATGCTTACGATTTGATCCTTTGTGTAATATTTGTTTAGGAAATTGCCAAAATGCAATGCAGACTGGCAGCTTGGGTTGGATTTGCTGAGCAAAGCCGAGCTTCAATTAAAATTATAAAAACAGCAAATCGATTTTAGTCGAGAGGGGTTGCTGCACGCTCCTTTTACAGAGCTCGTGCCGCTCCACACAATCTCGTAAGCGTTCGAGTGTGCCTAATAAGCATTAGGCTGATGCAAATGTCCGGTTCGTGCAATGCCCAAGCACCTACACGACGTGAATATTCGGGCCGATGCCGATGAATCGAAAAATCATGCTGTTCATGCACATGCATGAACATAGAAATATGATAAGTAGGGGAACGTACGCGCTATGCTCTCGACAACTAGCATAAAATAAACGACACATGTTTCAAGTGTGAACTGTCAAACTGGGCACAAATTATGACCCTGACCCTTAGCGATTRGAATACGTARGAGGCGAGCGCTGAGCATTACAAACTCAGCRATARMATAAKAATAGCTAATAAACCAATGCGGAGTCTTACAAACTACGCGATAAGTTAAGAATATGTAATAGACCAATGCTGAGCCTTACACACTCAGCAATAGAAGCATTAGATTTAATGGTTAAAATTATACATGAGTCTGGGTATAAAAACCCGGGCCCAACAGAATAAAGAATCAATACAAAACTAAACACCATCACAGTCAAGTGTATTCGTTCACATGCAGAAAAACAAACGCCGACAGCAATGCAACTAGTTGCAGCAGCAACATCATCTCTTCCACAATCAACTTCCATGCAATTTGCGATGAACATTTCTATAGCCCGTCTATGACAGCCCCTCGATTCTCGTGGCAGTAGTGGCTTAGCGGTTGCGTTATAGCAACTGTTGTCGTTCTGCCGCATGCAGCCAGAACAGACGACATTATGGCCAAAAATATCGTTGAGCCGTGCAATGCCTACAAAGGCATTCCAGACCGGCCATAGGCTAGGCGCGGTACTCGCTTTAAATTGCATTCGAATTTCATTTCTATGGCAATGGCTATGATTTTGGGTATTAGACTGAGTCGCTTACAGCAGAAATTTGGCGAACGGGAGCAGCTGGGTGATGTGTAACTAATAGCTACGTAAACTGGAGACACACATTAACATATTTCCATCCTATATGGAATAACATTGCGGAGCTCTGTGGCGCAGGCTTCAATAGAAATAAAGCCCAAAATAAAGCGATATGAACTTTCACTGGATCTAGCCCCAAATTGCAAGCAATAACAACAGACGAAGACTGGAAATAGTGCATATGGAATAAACATGTAAATATTATATAGTTCTGGTGGCTCTTAGACCTATTTGCTGGTTAAGATTTTTCGAAAGCAGTTGTTGTTGAAAAGTATGCTATAGAATTAGTTGAGTCTGATTTACATGCATTCGCCACTCAGCGAATCTATTTGGCAGGAGCTGTTCCCATGGTATTTCATAAACATAGCAATACGCTTGCAGTCGCTGTGTGTGCGTGGGTGTATGTGAGAGTGCGTGTTTGTGTGCGTGCGTGGCCAACACAATGGCCATAAGAATTGACAATTCTGCTGCATGTTTTTTTCGTGGGCCGTGCGAGGGCGACTGGGCAACGCGTTTAATTACTTGGCAGCTGGGCTGGGCGACAACTGTGCCGCAGCCAGCAGTGGGGAAGGGGGAGGAGGTTGGCTGGTTGCTTGGCGCAGTAAGGGCATATTTTGCATATTATAAGCTGACCAACTGTACTACTCCACAGCCCACTCTATGAGGCATTGTGCTGGCAGCTAATGCTGCGACTGCTGCCAGCGACTGTCCCTGGTGCTGTTGGTGGTCACTTTTGTGTAATTTATGGCTTTCGGCACCACGTTGCACCACAGTCGTCGAATGGGAGCGCTGCAGCTGGCAGAGAGAAAGATTTTGCATACTTATTATGCCAGTCGCATGCTGATGAGGCGGCGGGCGCATCTTCGCACCAGGCAGTGTGGGCTGTTTAATTTCCTGATCATTTTTCGATGCGAAATCGCGACGGCTGTTGGTTCGCATCAGGCTGCCCACCAAGCCACCCACATCACTCGCACCACAAGCAACTCTTGCTTCGCATAATGTCAGCCGTGACTCAGGAAACAATTGCGCACAATTTATGCGCGAGTGCAAAATGTTGCAAATGTCCCTGTGTGTGTGTGTGCGTGTGTACACAGTGGACATATTGAATGGGCAATCACTTCGATAGATACAAAGTTGCCCCAGCCACTGGCCAATTAAAAAACCAGCCCAAAATTATGCAGCCAAGCAGACGAGAGCCACGTAAATAAATAATAATTACGAGTACTTATTTGGCTGACTGCGCGACTACCCAAGGGACTGACGACCCGCCTGACCTGGCTAGAGATGAGCGCGTGTCATGCGATTAATGTTACAGTAATAATAACAAAACCATTTTTTAAAATATATATTTAAAGTAGATATTTCTATCGATTACTGGTCCACATTTTTATACATTTCTTAATTTAATCCTATACCATTTTTATTAATTTTTTTTTTATAAAGTAATAAATAAATAATAAACATTGTAGTTCATACAT